TCCCGCAAAATTGAATGCTGTTTAAGATCAATGAGAAAAAACATGCCACCCTGCTCAGACTCTAGCTTTGACAAAAGTATGGAAATATTAAGTGAAAATGTTAATCGGAGGCATTTTAAGAGGTATTGTATTTCTAGATGTCCAATCTCTGCTCAATTCACAGAATTAAAAGGAAGAATGAAAGCATGTGCAGTGAGTCACATCATCATAAATCTAGAGCTAAAAATCTGCACATGGTTGTGTTAATGTCAGTGCCAGTATCTTAGAACTAGAATTGCTCTTGATAAAAATAAGTCTTCCACTTGTGTAAGAACCTTGTGTCTTTTGCAAGCTCCTTTGAGATCTCTCCCCTGCTTTGGTGGCTGAGATGTTATCTGCATAACGGAGACTTTAAGGTCAGCAGGTTAGGAAATCGATGCCCTTTTACAACTGGCTGCATATGGGTATGCAGGAGATTTGGGATCTGAAACCTCTGTGTCGTCCTTAAGCTTTCTTTGCATGAAGTGGAGCACTGGATTATAAACTTGGTTAGGTTCTCTAGCCTTGATGGGATACAATACAATACTTCTGCACAATAATTCTAATGCAATTTTTTTTTTCTCCCTTTTCTCCCCTGTCCTCTTCCTTAATGTAGGCAGTTGGCAAAGCCAAAATCAGACCCAAAAAAAGAATATAAAGAAGGTAAGTAGTGGTAACTCCTTAGGATTCCTTTTGAGCCTGGTTTCTGGGAAGGACTGTGTTTGGTCACTCCACCTATTTAACTTGGCTCCAAAACCTCTGAACTCATCAACCACAATCCACTGAAGTTGAGAGAACAGGTATCTCAAAGGTAGTGGGTTTCTGGTGAGTTTTATGAGAAGGGGTAGGTGCAAATGGAGGTTATGCTATGAATTCCTTTAAGGCTTGAGGAGAGTACAGTGTGAATTACAGCCTGTTCTTAGGTGCTAATAATCTGTTGCTTAGCTCAGATTTCTTCATTACATGGATTTTCTGGAGTTTGCAGGACACAAGTTAACTGAAAATCAGTCTTGCAGATAGGAGGGAATATTGCAGCATTACAGCATATGTGAGTTAAAAAGTAGTTCTTTCATGAGTCACACAAATCCACTGAAGTGGGCAGGGTGTCACTGAAGTTCAGCGACGTACCTTGGAACTGAATCATGGTGCTGAGTACAGAGGCAGGTTTGGTGTGGTTGAGGCCACTTGCCAGCAGCTGGGAAAATGCATTCTTTCCAGACAGTGTTCTGCCAGCCAGGGGCTGACTGCAGGAGGGGGCCTGAAGGACACTTTGTGGGTCGTAATTCAAGTTCTAATTGTGCACTGCTTTCTCACTGACCTCTCTTAAATGTGTTAATGATAGTACAAGTAAGGAACCCATGGCAAAGGATGGTGTGTCGTAAATACTGAGCAGATCTTTTTGAAGCAGACAAGTGTTTGAATTCTTTGGAATCTGGGAGTTACCTTGAGACATTTCTTCCCTTCTAGAGCTTTTGTGTCATAATGCAGTTTTACATGAATGGAGTATAAACACTTCAGAGAGAGGCATTTTTTGTTTTCACTTGCCCAGAAGGAAGTAACTGGACTAAACTTGCCACCTGCATGGAGCAAAAATTGCGTGTTTGTTTTAATCAGCTTGGCTTTCCAGTCTTTTAAAAACTTGCTGTCCAAGTCATGCTTTAAAGTAGGTAGTTTAAACAGAAGTGATTTCAGTTTAATGCTATTATTGTGCCAATGACTTCTCGTTCTGTATTTAAAGAAAAAAATCAATCTACTGGTGATTTTTTTACATGTTACTAGTGCAACGGTGAAGGAAAGGGAGTAATGTATTTTCTGTCTCAAAATATTGTATCTATTGATGCATTTTAGTCACCAGAACGCTGAAGACCAGAGCTGATGCAAAAGCTGCAGAGCAAGTCCATGAAGAAAATGGGGATCTGGAGGTCCGCCGGAGCTGCAGACTTCGGCAAAGTCATTACACCACTACAAATCAATCTGTTTTGTTTGACAAACTTATAACAAAGTAAGTGTGTGTTTCGAATCTTGCAAAGCTACTAAAACGAGCCTTTGTGCTATGGCATAATATTGGCTAGGGACTTCCTTCTCCTTTTGACAACAGAAAAATGTATTCTTATTCCTGGCAGCAAGAGCTGAATGTGTTCAGTGGTTAGGCTGAGGCTGTGCCCCTCAAGATGGAGAGGGTCCATAGAAGGGCCCCAAGGATGATCAAAGGACTGGAGGACAGGCCATATGAGGAGAGGCTAAGAGAACTGGGTTTGTTCAGCCTTGGGAAAAGAAGGCTTAGGGGAGACTTCCTCACCATGATCCAGTACTTGAAGAGTGGCTACAAATAAGGTGGAGACTTTTCTTAGATGCTCGGGAAAGTTTTTCTAACACTTGGTTAAGATACTGAGGCAAGTGTTTCTGCTGGTCTGTCTATGGCTTAATTCCCTTTGGGAAGCCCAGATTGACATGGGTTTCTTAAGGTTAGCAAAGTGTAACAGCAGCAGGATGTTTTTTCCAGCATATACAGTCATAGAAAACCAACACAAACCTGAGATAATCGTTAATTGTCTGAGTAAAGTGCTGAACTAAAACCCACTTAATGCTATCATGGAGAGCAACTTCAGTGGTATTAAAAACTGCCATCATGTATTTCTGTTATTTTACTATGATCTTCTGAATTCTTTTTGCACTGCTAAACCAGATTTTTTTACTGTGTTCAGTGTGAGGGGAAAACAAATCTGAAAACTGTGTATATTTGCAAATTCTCAAACACTTGTTCTTAAATGTCTTTAAAAAAAGTAAACATTTGACCTAATTTTTAAGTAGTGTTTAAAAACATAGCCAAGTGCCAATGACTTACTTTGTGCATACTGATTATGTGTATTGTTTTGAATGTGTTGGTTTTTTAATACTTGCCTATCTTTGCTCTTACATGTCAACTTTTTTATCTTAGTACTGCAGAAGCAGTCTTGCAAAAAATGGATGATATGAAGAAGATGCGTAGACGGCAAATGATGGAAGACCTTGGGGTGTTCCACGATGCAGAAGAAGTAGATACTAATTTACTTTCCCTTTTTAATATATGTAGTGTATTTCATATAGGGAAATTACTGAGCTGTAATGTTAATTTAGCTGAATTAACTTATTCCAAAGAATAGCGTAGTATAAAATAACATTTGAGTTTGCTCTCTGGTTATAATTTAACGTCTTACTGTTATGCTCATGCTAGAGATTTGCTATAAGGGTGAAGGAATTACCTTCTTCAGATGACACCAAGTATCAGTGATATGCTGAATACATGTCTTACACTGCACTTACTGAATTGCCTTATGATTTTTGAATAGAGACTGTCTGCAAAAAGCTGTTTCAGGCCTTGGGCTTTCACTTCACATCTTACTAAAGACTGAATTCATTGTTCTCTGCTTTCTCTGTGTTTGTTCTTGTGCCAGCCTTGCCTGTGAGCTTAAGTTATCCTCTTTCTAGAGGAGCTTATGTTAAAATTATATGGAGCAATCATATTTTGTCTGCCTTAGTTTTGCGGCAAGTTCTTGTACTGTCCTTTTGAGTGACAGACCCTTCCTTTAAAATATATTTACAGCCTGCTTTCATCTTTTTGTTTAGATCTGAGTTCCTTTTTTTTTTTTTAATGAAACCAGAATTGTCCATAGTACTTCATATATCATCTCTCAAATGGCCTTATGAAGTTTTTGTCTGCTAGGAATTGCTTTTTCCTGAGTTCTGCCACACTCTTGGATTATTATTCAGTTTTGTCTCTGCATAAGGCTTTAACTATTACCTGGACTAAACCCTAGTTTAGAGCAGAAATTATTGTTACTAATCCTGGGGGCCAGAATGATATTCCTACTCTCTTCTCCTGTGCTTTAATTGAATCTTGTGTATATGAAGTGCCCTGATAATGTTACTTTATAGGCATCAAATATGCCCACATCAGGTTTTCTGCATATTTGTGACTGATTTTTTTAATCTTTCTTTTAACTAGGAAAACCTTAATATGTACTCCCGAGGACAGAAAGAAATTCAAAGAGCTGATGAAGAAATAGCTGATAATCAAGATGGTACTGTAGATTAGTTCTATTTTAAATTTCCTTCTCTGTATTCTAGCTGAAAGCCTTGGCTTAAACAATAAGAAGATCTGAACTACTGGGTATTTTTTATCTATTAAAAATACCTGTATTGCTCTTCACATGTCAAGCCATGATCACAGGCTCTAGGGCTGTACAGTAGTGAGCTCAGAACAGGTATTCAGAGGAAAAAATGCTTACAAGACAAAAGGCAACAGATGGCTGTAGACAGGTGGGAAGACAAAGAAACAGACAGTATTACTAGGAATGAGAAAGAATGATCTTGCTACAGCAGGAGAATGACATTTTTCACAGTTTTTAGCAGCACAGGGAGAGCTTTCAGGAAGTAAGGAAGCCTGCCAGATGTGTATGGAAAGCTCCTGAGCCTGAAGATCAACAGGGGAGAAGATGGTGTTGTTTGTTTTTGTGTTCGGCAGGCAGGCAGTGGAAACTGCTGTCCTGGCCTGTCATTAGAGGCTGTCGTCCTGCTACTCAGTGGGGAATAACGTGAGGAATAAGGTTAAATTGTAAAAGGCCATATCAACTTTCTTGTTGCAGTGAGGGGGGAAAACATTAAGGTTTTAAGGAGAATGATAGTTGTGATTTCAGCAATCAGTCCAAGGATCCTTGTAGGAGCTTTCTGGATGGAACAGAACGGGGTGAGGTAGTATTTAGGGACAGAAAGGGATCTGGTGGTGTATCTTGGTTTGAGCCAGGATGAAGCCAATTTTCTTTTAATTGATTATTTTTTTTTCCTTCAGTGAACTCTTAAGCAGCACACTTGCTGGAAGTAACAGCAAGTTGAACCAGTCTGTGCTAGGTATGGTCACAGACCTCCTCTGCACACCCACAATGGAGCTGAGAGAGGCAGGGGCAGGAGGGGAAGGCCTGATGATACCCAGGTGGACTGGGTGTTTCAGTTTCAGTTTCCCATGTGCTGTCTGTACCTCTGTGTAACTTATCTTGAATTTAGAAAGCAATGCAACTTCCTGGGGGGAAGACATAAAAAGGGTAGTGCTTTCCAAGGAGTGAAATGTACTTAATTTTAGTGAGCAGATAGAGGAACAGAGTGTGTACATTCCTTACCTGGTGTCCAGATGTTATTGGGAGAGGGTGTTGTTAAGAACCTGCTAGATAGTTACACTCTTTTTTTTAAATACATATACGAACTTGAAGTTACTTCACAGAAGTGGTGGCATAAACTATGCATTTGGCATTACTTTTTTGATTGGGGATGTTGAAAACTGTGACTTGCCCATTCTTGCTCTGTGGCAGGGCTAGCACTTGGAGCTAGATTGCCATACTTAGTCTTAGCACTATAGAAGTGGAAAACATTTCCTTGAAACATTTTCTCAAAATAACAAGAAACTACTTTCTAAACTAGGGGTTTTCATAGCAGCTGCATCTTAGCTAAACAAGATGGCAGAATTGTTGCTACAAAGAGATATGAGAAGTCCCTCAGGAGTTCCAGTGAGGACAGAGAAGTAGCACTATCTGTGGCTCTCTGTGGTTTGTAATTTCTGGAACGTGTCTTGCAGAAACTGATCTGGAGGCTTTGCAAGTTTTCAGATCTTATGTCACTGATGTAATAGTAAAACCCATATGCATCTGTGTAGTGCATCTGGAATTTAACCTAATTTACATCAGTACTCGAACAGTTTAACGTTATGTCCATGTACACTAGTTTCATCAGAAGAAAGTGAAGAGAAAGATGACGATGGGGAAGACACTCGGAAGCGTTACGACTTCCGCCAGAGGAAAACTGTTCAGCGCTATCAGGCTCCCTTGGAAAGTAGGTCATTAGTTACTCTTAAGAGCTAATTTCTTGTGTATCAGTGAGATGTTTTAAAAATGAAAACAGATACAGCCACTCAACTTCTATTTCAATTTGCTACTTTCATTCTCTAAGTAAATATTATTAAATGGATGGTCCCGTTGCACATTCTCTTTCCTTCCCATTTGGTGTACTTGGTGTTTTTCAGTGAAAAACAGCTTAGTATACTTGAAAGAATAGTAATTAAACAGACCTGATGTTCTTGCTGTTGTGGATTTCAGTTCTCCCCAAAAGTGAGCATTTTTTCACTTCTATTGTGCACTGATTTAAAACAAAACAAAACAAAACAACAAAAAACCCTGCTGCTCCCCCATGACTTGAAACTTCCCCTGAAATCAGAGATGGGTAAAACCCATTTTCTGCCTCTTTCACTCCCTTGTTTTCTCTTACATTTGTTTGTAGTGTGATTCTAAATTCTTGGCTTTCAACAGAACCAAGACAACGTAAGATCTATTTTTCGGGCCGGTCTTCACCTGTCAGACAGAGATACTCGTTTAGAAGTGCTCAGCCACAAGGCTCTTGCTGCAAAAGAACTAACAGGTGGGTGTATGGTCAGTACTAGTTCTTATTTATCAGTAGTGCTGTCAGTCACATTACTGAATAATGCTCTCAAGGGT